CATTTGCCCCTATGCCTCCTAAAAGCCACTCTACTGCACACTTCCACTCTATGTAGAATAAAATCAAAATGATTTTTTCCCGAGTATTCACTAGTCAATCATGTGATGTGAGAAGGCATTTTGGCAATGACTCTATGTAGAATATATCAGTTAAAAGGGCTAATATTTTACAAACATACGTCATAAGGTCATTTCTTAATAAATTTCAAATAATTATATATAACTTATAAAAATGAATAAATAATGACTAAAAGAATTGATATTTTGTGATCTATTTTTTATTTTATTTTATATAATTCTTCTATAAAATGCCTTCTCTTTTTCCTTCTTTTTTTGGCCTAGAAGGGCGGTTGGGGTTTCGCGTTAAGTACATGTACTCTCTCTATCTAGCATATATCATATAATTATGGGGCCCAACCCTTTGAGTGACCTCAAGGGAAAATAAGTAATAGAACTTCAAATTGTTGGTCCACCTCTTGAGGTTCAAACTTATGACTTTTCAAGTGAGAATCATAGACCTTAGTCAATTTAGACAACTTAATTGATAAAATTAAAATATCTCTTATTTTTTTTTAAATATTTTTAAAAAAATTAAAAAAATTATATCTTTTTGTGATTGCAGAAAATTAAAAATCAAATTTGTATTTGTGGGGGATAATGTCTAACTCAGAAAAACAATTTGATGTTGAAATTTCTTTTAAAATTTATTATTTCTTACATGTGGTAGGTGTGCTATTTCATCAATTGAAAGTATGTTAGAACAATTTAAATAAACATTTTTAATTTCTTATTTAATTTTAAAAATTATCAAATATTATAATTGAGACGGTATATTTCATTTACGATTAAATCAAATAAAAATAAAATTTTATTTCTAGTCTTTATACAAGGAACTTAATTACAAAGTGGACAAAATTGTCCTTTTGGCTAGCATTTTCCTTCTCACTACGACCATCATCGCTCCTCCATGTTTTCCATACTGTTGTCCACAAAATGGATATTAAAAAAAAATTGTCTTTTCTTTTGGAAACTTGTTTTACTTTTTTATTTTTTTGGGAAATTTGAACACATGAAAATACTTGAATATACATAAGTGTTTTACACCAGCATTGAAAATAAGATTAATTTCTTGTTGTTGAACTAAAATACAATTTTCACAAAAAATTAAATGAATAAGCAACACTAAATGCCTTCATACAAGATGTTGCCAAGTCCTCAAAATGATTTTGTCATTTCTTGCTATACTCAAGTCATATTTGGTAGAACTTTTTTTAACTTAAAAGATGATAATCATAAAGTAGAAACTAAAGCACCACTTTCTCAACTCTAAATAATCAACTTTTTTTTTTTATTTTGTTTAAACTATTTTTGTCTAATAAGGTATAAGTAGAAACTAAACCAAACAGTCTGATATAGACTCTTAAATCAAAATAAGCTATAATTACCTCTTAGAAACTGTAACAAATAGTGCCCAAGTGTTGGTTTGGCAATTTCCCCTTTTTAGTAATTTTTAATTTTTTGACTTTTTTATGAAGTGGAATAAGTTAATATGGAATAAGTTTTTTAGTTGAATAGATATAATTGTAAAAGAAAAAGTGATTGATTGATACATATGATATGACATTTTGACTATTTAGATTTTTTTTTTAGTTTTTTTTGTGGGTTTATAAAAAAAATTTAACTAAAAAAATCACAAACCAAATGAGGTCTAACTAAGATCTGACTTTTTAAGGAGTAATTATCTTATCTAATCTTCCAAGAATTTTAAGGTGATGTTGTGCCCATTCAATAACAAGTTGTGTACTTATATTATTACATAACCCCATAAAATAACAATAATATGAGAAAATGATAAAATGCCATTAGTTAGGCACACAAATACATAATCTTTCTAAAACACTCGCCAAATCACTATTATATAATCAACCAAAGATATTTAACTTTGCTAACGATACAGTGGTCACTCGAGGGAGGGAAATGGGAGGAAAAGGGGAGGGAGCTGAATAGATGGGTGAGAGACTGCATGTGTATAGAAGATAAAATTAAGACGGCCCACTTTTTATGTGGTTGCATTATTTCATTGATTCCTAAATACCTAGCATATTACAGAACAATGCCAACATAATTTAATCTCTTTTTAAAATATGGCTTGGCACATAGGCCAAGTGCAACATGAGATGAGAACAACAATACTCAAACCTAATCATAGTTGGAGAATTATCCAAAACATTTGCCCCTATGCCTCCTAAAAGCCACTCTACTGCACACTTCCACTCTATGTAGAATAAAATCAAAATGATTTTTTCCCGAGTATTCACTAGTCAATCATGTGATGTGAGAAGGCATTTTGGCAATGACTCTATGTAGAATATATCAGTTAGAAGGGCTAATATTTTACAAAAGGCCATTTGTTAATAAATTTCAAATAACTATATATAACTTACAAAAATGAATAAATAATGACTAAAAGAATTGATATTTTGTGATCTATTTTTTATTTTATTTTATATAATTCTTCTATAAAATCCCTTCTCTTTTTCCTTTTTTTGGCCTAGAAGGGTGGTTGGGGTTTCGCCTTAAGTACATGTACTCTCTCTATCTAGCATATATCATATAATTATGGGGCCCAACCCTTTGGGTGACCTCAAGGGGAAATAAGTAATAGAACTTCAAATTGTTGGTCCACCTCTTGAGGTTCAAACTTATGACTTTTCAAATGAGAATCATAGACCTTAGTCAATTTAGACAACTTAATTGATAAAATTAAAATATCTCTTATTTTTAAAAAAAATATTTTAAAAAAAATTAAAAAAATTATATCTTCTTGTGATTGCAGAAAATTAAAAATCAAATTTGTATTTGTGGGGGATAATGTCTAACTCAAAAAAAACAATTTGATGTTGAAATTTCTTTTAAAATTTATTATTTCTTACATGTGGTAGGTGTGCTATTTCATCAATTGAAAGTATGTAAGAACAATTTAAGGAGTAACCCATTCAATAACAAGTTGTGTACTTATATTATTACATAACCCCATAAAATAACAATAATATGAGAAAATGATAAAATGCCATTAGTTAGGCACACAAATACATAATCTTTCTAAAACCCAAGCAAGTTTGGGAATTATCTAAAATAACTAAAAAGTCAACCATTCTCACTACTTTTCTACACATTCTTCATATAGAATTAAAAAATCAATTAAAATAACTAATTCTCAAAACAATCTTAATTTCTACTTTTGATGTCTCTTGTGAGTTGATAATAGAACATTAACAACTGTACCATATTTTACAGACACATGTCATAAGGTTATTTGTTAATAAATTTCCAATAACAAAAATATATAAATAAATACTATTATTTTGAGACGGATGAAATATATAAACTTTATACTTACCAGTCATTTTCCATTTTTTGTTTCTTTATGATGCCCCATTACTTCTGTCTTTGTGGGCCTAAATTACTTTCCTGGTAATTGGTTTGTTAAGCCACTTTCATTAGGACCCATTACTTCTGTCTTTTTTGGCCATTCACAATTCCTTAGCCTTTTGAACTGCATGTATGTGTGAGGATTTAGAAGTTTAGGTCTCGTTTGAGAATTATATATTTTAGTTAAAAAGTTATTATAAATTATCACATTATTCTCTCTACATTTCTGTACATTTTTTATAAAATGTTAAAAGTTACTACAATAACATGTTTCTAAACAAGGCCTTAATATACAAGTTTTATAGGTTATTTTTAAAAAAATTTCTTAAACATGTTTTGCCATGTTACCTACGTAGGGTTGGTTTGGGAAATAAATTTATTTTATTTTAATTTTATTTCTTTATTTTTTGTTAAAATATGAGATGAAATAAATTGAAATGTTTGAGAATTACTTTTTGATTTTTTATGAAAAAAAAATTACAAAGTGAAGCAAGTATAAAATAAAAATTGATAATTAGAAAGCAAAAGTCAAAAACACCCTTCCCCCAGCTTCCTGATAATCATTTTATTTCAGATATTTTTATCTAATAAGTTTTAAGCAGAAATTATACCAAACACAGACTTGCAAAATAAAATAAATTATACCAAATAATCCCAATATACTTCAGCCAATGCAGAATATAGCAACACTAATTGATGTTTCTCCCATTCCATTATGGCCCAATTTCGTTTATGAATTTTTTTTGGGGGTGAATAAATTATTTATTATTTTTTGTTTATGAATGTTGCTCTGTTTCCTTGTAGTATCATGCCATTTCTCCTTCAGCTTCCAGCATTAAACATACGAGGCAATTAAAAAAAATAAAAAAAATGATTCACAAGTTTAAATATTTGATTATCTAAAATGGCAATTGAGAGAATCATCTCTTGCCCAATTTGGCAACAACCTAATGAAATGATTCAATTATAAATACCTCCCAAGATGGCACCGCAAAGATTTATACAATATTGGATAGTATTCTACAACTACTAAATAATCACCACTTTTACCTTACCAGTAGACATCATTTCCATTATAGTTAAAGCATTAAAATCAACAAAAACATTTCCATTATAGTTAAAGCATAAAAATCAACAAAAACATCAGGAATTACCCCTAAAAGAAGTCCTATTGTCCCTTTAACTAGATAAGCGAAACTTAAGATTCTACACAAAATGATTTATGATGGTATGTTTTTTCAACTTCCGTAATTCCATGAAATGAGGCAAATTAAAAATATATATATCCTAGAAAATTAATGCATGTACTATGGACATCTAACAATGTAAAGAAATCTAGAATAAGTCATGATTTATCTGATCAGTAAATCAGACCACAGTCTAAACCCTCTAAAAACTATCATTTGCCTTCCCATAGAGAAAGCATCAATCTTCAAATCTCACAATATGGAAAGCAGCACTAAACAATCATGAACACAAAATCTTCTATCAGTGTAGGCATCGACAAATCTTCTTCTTCTTCTTTGATTTCATAATTTAGCTTCAATTTAAAATAGGATGCCCTGTGATTACAACTTAGGAGCCGAATTGCTCCAAAACTGCAATACAAAAGCCAAAAAAGTGAGTCAAGAAACAGTTACAAGTCCTTGTTTATATAGATTCGTATTTAAGCAGTTGAAGAGAATCAATCTTAAATGATAGATATTTTAATGGAATAATTTAAGTTATTACTAGTCTGATTCATGACTGCATCAATGATCAATCTCGCATGTCACAACTAACTGTGGTTTTGGAATCAAATCTTATTTATTGTTAAGTTAACCTAATAATTTTTTCAATCAAGTTCAAATCCAATTAGCTGCATGTAACATGTGATAGCTGTTGTTGAAGAAGCTGCAAGCAGTGAAGCATTCCGATGGGTTTAATTTTCTTTTATCTAGAAGGTTTGGAGCATCATTAAGAAGGATGTTATGGTTTGTCTTAGGAATTTTACAAAAATGAGAGAATTGTAAAGGGCCTTAATGCTACATTCATTGCCTTAATTCCTAAGGTTGAAAGAGATTCATGCTTTGAGGAGTCCAATCCCATTTAGTATATATGGTACGATTTATTTACAAAATATTATCCAAGATGTTATCAATCAGATTAAAGAAGGTACTTTCAGAAGTTATTAGTGAACCACAAGCTGCCTTTGTGGGATAGTGTTTAATACTGATTTTAAAAAAGGCATATGATCATGTTAATTAGCCCTTTTCCTTATTGGATATGCACTTTACAAGTGTCCCGTGTAGGGTTGTGTGACTTGAGAAAAGACTGACATACCTAGGCGATCAAAAGCAAACACCCCAATAATCAATCATGGGGAATTAAAAAATAAAAAATAAAAAAGATCGTTAAACATGTTTCTCCTTCAATGGATTGGGGACATTTCTAATTCTGAAAAAGAGGAATTACAGCTGAAAAACGCGTTACCTGTTTTACCATAATGCTAAGGAGGCCATCATCCGACGAACTGCTGCTATTATTGTGATGGCTCCTGATTTCTCTTTCTGTATTCTCAAAGGGATATCGATGCTGCACAAACTGCCCTTTCCGGATTGAGTCATCTGTGATTTGTCGCATGTCAAATGGAAAGTTAATTGGTTCTTCTTTTACTTTGAGATTAGCTAAATTTCTTCCTTCATGTTGCCCTGAAATCGAAAAACAACAGAATGATGAGCTCTATAAAACACCAAGTACAAGAATAATAAAAACAAAGCAAAGACAGTGTCTACTGAAACTCCATCATTCAAAAAATTATTAAAGGAAGAAACTCTTTTGTTTTAAGTGGACATACAGTGAAATCTGCTCTCAAATTTAAGTGTAATAATTGATATAACATTCTTATTTTATGGTCTGAAAGCTTGAAATTCTGTCAATTTATAGAATTATTTCAATTTTGGTTTCATTGATATAGGAGGGGACAAAGAACAAATTAGCGAAATACTAAAAACCAAACAGAATTCAATGATATTGGGGAACAAAAATAAAAAGAAACAGAAAGATAAAGGGAGGATAACTAACCTGGAAGCAGCATGGCAAGAGAATCGGGTTGAGAAATTGGATTCAGTTGATTTGAAGCATCTCCAAGAATTTGAAAAGGAACACCGCCAAGGTTGACGGCTGCAAGAGGACATGAATATGGCCCAAAGCTAACAGGCATACTGCTTGGACCAGATTCTCCTGTGTTAAAGCTAGGAAGCTGAGAAGAAGACATCTTGACATTGTCATCAAAAATCTCTGTTCTCGAATTAATAGAATGAAACCTCATCCCATTCAATTCATGATGGGGAGATGGATTTGCCGCAAAAAATTGAGATGGAGGGACACTTCCAAGCACGGTTGGGCGCATGTGATCTGCTACTACTTTGGGAGGTAGTTGGTTTTGTTGGAGGAGTTTTGCATTTGATGTAGAAGCACCAAATGTTTGAAGTCGGCTACCAAATGAGGTGATCCCAGTACTCATGTCTTGTTCTGCAAATCTATTGTGATGATTGATGGTGTTTAGGCCTTGATTAATACAAGATGTGGTGATTGTATCAGATAGAAGCCTGTTTGTTCTGTTTGAATTGATATTGTTCTTGCTTTCTTGGGTCATTTTAGCTATTGTGTTCTCCTTCCTTAAGGCATTTCTGTACTTCTGTAATCAAGAAAAAGGAGTATCAAAAAACTATCAGTTAAAGAATCACAGTTTAGTTTCACTTGCATTACATATCTGACTAGTCCATGATGCAGGATATAGAAAACAGAGGACTCATAGCCTAGAATGCCATCTTGGAAGCTTATGGAAAGACCAAACTCACCCAAAGGTGGCAAGCAACACTTGCGCGAGAGATCTCCGGTTCATTCATGATGTTGAGTATCTTCTTTGGAACTGCTTCTGCAAAGGTACAAAGACACCCAATAATGTTAGGATACACCCCAATACATACTTTTACCTTTGTCATGTTTGTGTGATATTAGCAGCTAAGCTAGTGCAAGAGCATGGTTTTACATAGTGGTATCGAAAGATGATTAAGTATGGATTACAGTGTAACCTTATTGGAAGTATCAAGCCATATGTATTGGGAATCAATCAGGTGTATATTTTTTAAGCCTGTAAAATAAAATAAAATGAAGATCCAAGACTTACTATCTACTCCTAGCTCCCGAACAGCATTGACAAACTTGTTATGCAACACTCCAGTCCAACTAACCCTCTTCTTCTTCTGAGCAGAAGATTCCTCATTATGAGTGTTTGTTTCATCATCATCTTCTTCTTCTTCTTCTTCTTCTTCTTCTTCTTCCTCATTTCTCTTTTCCCTCAGCCTCTTTGAAGATGGAATTGGGGGGTTTTGATCTGTTCCTACTTGCATGGTGCCAGATTTCGTTGTATTAAATAGATTTTTCCGGACCACATGCTGCCAAATATTCTTCACTTCTTCCAACCGAAGTGGCTTTATCAGGTAGTCCCGAGCTCCATGCTTTACCCCCTTCATCACCGATTCTTTGTCATCGTTTACGGACATCACTGCAATTCCAAACTTAGCTTTAAGGTTTAATCTCATCCAAGTTAATGTATACTGATTAAGAAATGATAAGCTTACTTATTACTAGCATGTCCATTTCAAGGCCTATTATCTCCAAAAGCTCGAAACCGTTCATATCGAGCATTATAACATCAGTAATCACAATATCATATTTTTCTTTCTTCTTCCTCAGCATTTTAAGAGCTTCTGTTGCTTTTGTTGTCGTGGTAACTGCATACATATCAAAATGCATAAAATTTTGGAATAAATAGGCCTAACAGTTCAATGACCCTTTCAATAGTCAAGAATTTTGTATTTCTGTATCTCTGCTTTATAGAGTACGGAATGTAGTTTTAGAAAAAATTCTATGAAACAGTGCATTAAATTCAATTTGTTTGGCTTTATATGTTTTGACTGAACTCCCTCTGAAAATTTTGTAAGAGTAACTACATGAAAATATTGGAATGTGAATCTTGATTCATAGGGAAGACATGATCTTCTGCCTAATCCCCAAACTGTAAAATTCAAATTCGTTTTGTGTTTTTATAGCAGAGAACTAGTCAGACCCACAATAATGGTCAATTTTGGGGGAGAACTCTAGTTTGACCATTGCAATATAATAAATATTATTTTTTAATTTTATCAATTTAAATCATAAAATTTTTATTTCTTTTTCAATCTAAACCATCTACCTCCCTATTTCCGATAAGTAAAATCAACAAAAAATAATATATTTTAGTCATTAAAATCAACAAAAAAAAGTGTTTTAGATATTTTATGTACACATACATTGAGTTTAATGACTAAAATAATATTTTTTCCATCCGTTTTACTTAACAAAATAGGTTGATGGTTTAAATTAAAAACAAATTAAATTTTAAAATTTAAATTGACAAAATTAAAAATTCAGATTCTTCTGTAATTTTCTTTAAATTTTAATATCCGACAATTTAGTAACATTATACTTACTTGGCTGTTGCCTTTAAAAATAAAGAGAGAAAAATGGAGCAATTGCACAAAGTGTAATTTTTTTTATAAAGTGTAATTTTTTTTTGTTTATTATAATATTATAAAGTGTAATTTTTTTTTTTTTTTTTTTTTTTTGAAACAGCAAAAATGCACTTTATTTATAATAAACAAGCAACAATACATTGACATCAAACAATAAAAGCAAAGGATGCCGAGAACATCATAGCAAAGATACAACAAAAATGCTATAACTCCATTATGTTAATCACAAACCCAAACTAGCAAAATCATTTTAAAAAAAAGAAAAGAAAAATCACAAGCAACCTAATAAGATGTCCACAATTAATTCATAAATTCTACAATTCGAAATTAATAATTTATGTAACTATTGTAGTTATGTTACGCACACTCTGTATACATTTAAAATTAGGAATCACATGTATACATTTAAAATTCAAAGAAAAAAGTCCAAGAATCATGTTCTATAAGTACTCTCTACATAAATTTTCATATCCTCAAGAATTATGAACTTGTTCAAATAATAAACCAAACCCTATTTGTGATCTTCAAGCATACAAGTCTATGGGAGTGTTTGGGAAGAAAAAAAATAACCTAATTTAGGTTAAAATTCACAAAAAGACAAAATAGGCTAAAATAGCTAATAAGATAAAATATCACATCAAAGCCATAATCATTTCACTTTTTCTCTCATAAACATCACATCCAATCATAAAAAAATCTAATCATCTTCCCAAATACAAAAATTTTAACCTACTAAAATAGCCAAAAACTAAAATAGCCTACTAAAATAGCAACTTCCCAAACGAAGCCTATATATATATATATTGGGATTGAGAATAGAAACCTTTATAGCGACACTTGTTGAGAAGAGCAGTAACACATTTGAGGCAGACAACGTCGTCATCAACCACAAGAACACTCAAACCCTCCGGAAAGTTGGCATTCACTCTGCTTTGCGGTGGTGCCGCACGGTTCAGACTCACATGAACGCCCTCAGTCTTTGACATAATGAAAACACTTTTATTATTATTATTCGAAGAAAGAGAATATCTTCACCAAGATATATGCAATTTGCAAAGTGGGTTTTGTTTTGGTTCTCTCTTAGGATGTCACTAGGATTTTCTCGGGAAAATCAAGCAGGAAAATCGCTCCATGAAAAAGTTTATGAAGAGGGAAAGGAATATAGGAGAAGCAATTCTAACAGAGATCACTATATAATATTGGGAAGAGGATGTCAAAGAACGCAGAAACTGAAATGTTACTAACTAACTCTAATCAAAACTGAAACGTTACTAATTACAGCCTCTTCAATTATTAAATCAAATCAAATAAAAACTTAAACTTCATTCATCATGAAACCGTTACTAACTATTTAATGGATTAAGGGTGGCACACCTTAATTTAAAGTGTATTAAGGGTGGCATAACAGTGGCTGTTGTACTTTAATTTAAAGTGTATTATGAGCTTATTTTTATGATTCGAACCGTTCATTTTGTAGGGTTTGTTGAGTACTTCATGCCTACCAAAAATCATATTAATCGGATATCAATAACTATATGATCGAATTGCATATTGTTTATACTATTTCTCAAAAGAAAAACTTATTGTTTATTTTTTTTGATTTTCGATCATATAGTTATTAATATCCGATTAATATGATTTTTGGTAGGCATGAAGTACTCAACAAACCCTACAAAATGAACGGTTCGGATCATAAAAATAAGCTCATAATACACTTTAAATTAAGGTACAACAGTCACTGTTATGCCACCCTTAATACACTTTAAATTAAGGTGTGCCACCCTTAATCCATTAAATAGTTAGTAACGTTTTAATGATGAATGAAGTTTAAGTTTTTATTTGATTTGATTTAATAATTGAAGAGGCTGTAATTAATAACGTTTCAGTTTCTGCATTCTTTGACATCCTCTTCCCAATAATAGGGGTGTGAGAATCAATTTTTTCAAAAAAATCTTGGGGTAGCGAATGTATATAATTTAGGCATATTGTTAACTAGTACACTATATTGAAGGAGTTTTTAAAAAACTTTAGGGTAACGGTCGCCCCTGTCAACCACTCCCTCAATCCATCACTGTATATATGTGTGTAAGAGAATTTTGAGGACAACAATTTTGCGAATCCAGAAATCTCTTTCCAACGAACAAGACCTTTGATAAACAAGCCATGTTCTGTAACAAAATGCCTCGCCAAATCACTATTATATAATCAACCACTGATATTTAACTTTACCAACGATACAGTGGTCACTCAAGGGAGGGAAATGGGAGGAAAAGGGGACGGAGCTGAATAGATTGGTGAGAGACTGCATGTGTATAGAAGATAAAATTAAGACGGCCCACTTTTTATGTGGTCGCATTATTTCATTGATTCCTAAATACCTAGCATATTACAGAACAATGCCAACAGAATTTAATCTCTTTTTAAGCAATGGCTTGGCACATAGGCCAAGTGCAACATGAGATGAGAACAACAATACTCAAAGCTAATCATAGTTGGAGAATTATCCAAAACATTTGCCCCTATGTCTCCGAAAAGTCACTCTACCGCACACTTCCACTCTATGCAGAATAAAATCAAATAAAATAAAAATGATTTTTTTGGGAGTATTCACCAGTCAATCATGTGATGTGAGAAGGCATTTTGGCAATGACTCATTCATCAAACTCATCTGCTGTTCCATTCGTTCATGGATTCTAGAGTTCGATTTGGAACTAGAAATTTACCAAACCCATATTGTGATTCCAGCCCTACCAGACTAGAAACAAACCAGCAAAATAGGTATAAGAACTACTACCCAAATTTCAAAATAATCAAATTGGAAAAAACATCTTACAGTGACCATAACTTTATTTCACACAACAATGTTTCCCCTAAGATAAGAACAGTCTTCAACATTGAAACGGGTCATTAATACAACAGCACAACAAACTGAGTCCTAAAAGTCATATTGTGTCATTCACAACAAGAAATGACTAGAAGCACCCTATACTAAAGAAAATAATAAGGGTGTAAAGCGGAAAGAACCTACTTTACAGGCAACTGTACAACAAGAGAAACCCCTCATGTCTGATAAAGAGAACAAAAGTCTTCAACACTTCCAAAAACAACAGTTGTTACAATGGGTGAAGAGTTTCATCAATTGTCAGATTGGTAATAATGCAGTGCGAGAAAGCTATTCACATCAACAACGAAACAGCATTTTCACAGAAAGTCCTCCTATTCATCATCATCCAACTCTACAATCTGTGCCCGCCGCCTTTCAGCTGCTTTCTTCCTGATAAAGAAGCCCCACCTCATCGCCGCCTTGATTTTCAGCCAACCCACAACAGCTTTACCTGAGCGGCTACGATCCTCCTCAAAGCTAAAGTTTGTTGGCGGTGATGATGGCATGTATGATGGGAAAGTAAACCCGTCTTCAGGTCCATTGACAGAGGCATGACCACCACCCCCCATGCTGAAGAGTCTAAGCAAATGTTGCATATCTTCATTCTCAAGCATCTCATGACTTCTAATGCGAATTTCCTCCTCAGACAAGAAGTCATCGACACCCTTGTCTCGATTGTGTGACCAGTCTTCAAAGGGGTTAAGATTTGACTGTTGAACAGATGTGCTGCTAGTCTGCAATGACGTTGATGATTGTGGAGGGCCAAGTGCCAATCCTACCCTGTTATTACTATGAATTTCGTGAGAACTGCTGGTTTGCTGGTCATGCAGAGCATACAGATTACTGCCGAACAGAGCACGGGAATTAGAATTGATAAGCTGTGTCTGTATTGGGTATCTAGTAGCCAGATTGTCATTATAGCCTGAACCTGAAACAGAAAAGAGAATAAATATAATTAACATTTATATTACATAAAATTACTTGAACAATATTGGTGCACACATGCATGCATGGATACAAGAGAACAAAAGTCAATCTCCAAAGTATAAATAAAAATGGTCAGCTCGGTCCCCCAATGCATCTAGCACTAAGGACTTTCATGAGTAGAAAATGCACCCAGCTGAGCATCCTAACTGGTGTGAATAGCTTCTCACTTTTCTTTTCTTTTATTTATTTATTTTATTTTATTTTCTTTATTTATTATTATCATTTTTTGTGAAACAAACATATAACTGATTACCAAGATCAGCAAGTGTCATGCGTTCACTTTTCTTCCTTTCTTTCTGCACAGTTGGTATTTTTGAGATTTTGACATGGTGCAAATTATAACACTCCAAATAAGTCGCACTGAAGGACAGTTTTGAAACATAAGAAGCATAATATCAATCTATACTATATAAGTATATATATATATATATATAAAAGAATGTAGTGGAGTCTCAAAAGCCTCAAATATTCATCCTCAATTTTCTAGAAAATTTAAAAAACAGGAGATCCTCGTGACACTCCCAATCTTCTTACTTTCAGCTTTCTTCACCTTACTCACACAGGCTCTCACTTTCAGCAATCTATACTAGTTTTTTTTGTTTTTTGTTTTGAGCCACATAGAGGCAAGTGGTGCAAAACAAAATAATTTTTTGCTATTAAAACTTTGATTTGTATGTTGGATGTTTAGCTATAAATTTAAAATAAATAAATAAAAATTGATGTACCCCAGCCGTACCCATATCCTACTTTTTTAAGAATTTGTCGTATCGGCATATCCGTATCGTACTCATACCCATATCTATACTTGCACCCGTACTTCATAGATAATTACATATGACTAAATAATTTACATTTGGGAGAAGCAATAGGGAGCACTTCTAGAAAAGTGGTTGGGCATTAGGAGGTTGCTCATCTTTAATGACGCCTTTTGAGTAAATGAAATAGAATAGTCTAGCAGAATCGTATGAGAGGGAAAGTGAAGAGCCTCCCACTTGTCGGGGTTACCAGGCTGGCTAACCTAACTATGAATTTCTATCAAGGGATAGACAGAGGTCTAGGATAGTACGCTGTCGGAGTGAGACTGGGGTACAGTAATGAAGTTGGACCAAAATGAATGACTCAATTCCTCTAGAAGAAAGGAGAGAGAAAGAACAACCAATTCTATGAAACAATATCTTATTTACTAGGATCGGTTGCTACTAGTCCGCTGATTATGGAGTTATGTCTGGTGATCTATGAATCATGGATAAGGATATAATAAAAATATAAGATACAAGTATGGCCAGGATACGTTCGTAAAAGAAAATCAGTTTTATAATTTTTGTACTGTAACCAGTCCAATGAGTCAGATACCGAGTTAATAAAAAACAAAAAAAAACAGAAGAAGAAGATATCAGTTAAAGGGCTAATAACCAACTATCTTAACTTATTTTTTAGTAGGTCCTATGAAAATTTCATTTCAATATCAAGTATAAACTATTTTTATTGCCCTCGTATATTTTCCTTTCACACTTTAATATGTTATGTGCAAACATATAGTACGCAAATTTATTTTCTTGTTTAATCGTTAAAATCCGATTTTATTATCATCATATTTTCTTATTTATCCTTAATTTCTAAATAGCATGGACATGGATATGGGATACATATAGGACATATTTTATAAGGATATGTTAATTTGATAAATTGCTAGAAAAGTAAAATACTAATTTAATCTCACTATGTTCTTCTTCTAAACAAAGTGTTGAAAAAATATTATTGTATTTATCCTAACACGTATACTCTAATACAAGAATTATTACACTCTTTTTTTAATAGTAGTTTGGATATATGAGCTAGAGTATCTAAAAAGTATTCGATACTTCTCAAAACGGCACACCCAGTGCACAAAACTCCCGCTTAAGCGGAGTCTGAAGAAGGGTTGATGTATGCAGCCTCCCGCAACCGGAGAGGCTATTTTCGCAACTCAAACCCATGACCACCAGGTCACCAAGGGGTAACTTTACCGCAACGCCAAGTCCGCCCTTCATCCAATACTTCTCAAAATTTAAGAAAATTAATACGTATCCACAAGTATCCAATTAGTATCAATGCCTGATACAGGTATGACTCCCT